TTTTTTTTTTTTTTTTTTTTTTTTTTTTTTTTTTTTTTTTTTTTTTTTTGTGATTTGTGTGATGTGATTTTATTTGCATGAATGTTAATAATAAACTTGGTTTGATGACATTTGATTTTAATTTGTTTGATCTTTACGTTTTAATTTGCATCTAATATTTTAACTAATTTTATTTTATGGGTTGGTTTGAAATATTTAAAATGAAAAATAAAATAATTAAGACGGTAATATTACATTAAACTCAATTGTGATTTTTGATCGAGAGCATTCAACTAGTTATCTTTTTGGGAGTACGAACTCGCGTCATTTGCAGCTGGTTAACTCGTCACGTGCCATTTTTTGGTCGAAATCTCTTAATCTTAACGATGCATTGTAAATGATCCGACCGGATTTAACTCAATATTTTAAAACGTATAAATCATATTCGAGTAATCGAAAAATTACAGTAGCAAATGGAACCAATGCAACGGGAACTATCACAAAACGCTGCCGTTTTGGAAGGGTGGGATCCATTTTAAATGAAGCCACGTCGGACAAATATAAAACAATATAAAAAAAAACAAAACAACACGAATTTCTTCCTTCCCTCACTCCCTCTCTCTCTCTCTCTCTCTCTCTCTCTCTCTCTCTCCCTCCGTTACTCTGTCTGGTTAGAGTCGTACGGTGGAACAACCCCACTCTCGCCCCTCTCCGCCGATTCTTCAATCGCCATTTTCCTTAAACCCCAAATCCCCTTCCCGCTCCTCCTCTTTTTTCTCCCTCTGTCAAATTTAGGGTTCATAATGTGCTGTCTTTTGCAAGCTCAGGTCCGATCCGCCCATGGCGTTTCGTCTACACTTTTGGAGTTCACTAAGCGCCGTATTATGCCCCCAAGGTAGTATACTTCTTGTTCGTCACTTTATCTTCTGCTGTTTGAAGGTTTTTGTCTTTAGATTGACTGCATTTCTCGTTGTTTGGCTAATTTACTCTTGTTCTATAGATGGGATTTTGTTGTTTTGGTTAGGTTTTTTTCTGCATCTAATCGTTTAAGGTTAACTGCTTGATTAAATGTGGAGGGTGAAGAGAAAGTGTTTGCCATTATAGCTATAGGTGGAGTACTAAAATGTATTTTTGTGCATGATTTTATGGTACTTTATATGTCATGATTTGTGTTTGTTCATCTTTGAAATGCTTGGAGATGAATTGGGTGTTGAATTTAGCAATTTTTTGTTGGGTTTTCTGCATTTAGTGTTATGAACTTTGGTTGGCTTCATTTCCAAAGGCATTTGAGAGAGCAATGATGGAATTTCCTTTCTTTATAACCTTTCGCCGTGTGTTTTAATTCATGTGTTTGTTGTTTTAATTTATAAATATCACTGTCGGACTTTGATTTTGTGTTGATTGGTTTGGTGATTTAAGAACAAGGTTGTTTTTGTTGTGTTGTACATTGAAGCTATAATTTTGAATCTTCAATATGTTTCTCATTGTTCATTGCGTTTCCTCTACATTGTTCATGGAAACAAAATCCTAAAAAGAGTGTGTTTCTTACTATATTAGTTGTGGAGAGAGTCATTATTCAAAGATCTGTATCTTGTCATGATTTTGCTTACTACTATTTTCAAAAGTTTGAGAAGGAGCACTGAGGTTGTGAGATCCTACGACGGTTGGAAAGGGGAACGAAACATTCCTTATAAGGGTATGAAAATCTTTCCCTAGTAGACACGTTTTAAAACCGTGAGGCTGACGGTGATACATAAGGGGGCAAACGGACATTATCTATTAGTAGTGAGATTGGGCTGTTACAGGTTGGTATGATAGCCAGACACCGGGTAGTGTGCCAGCGAAGACGCAGGACCTCTAAGGGGGTGGATTGTGATATCCCACCTCAGTTGGAGAGGGAAACGAAGCATTCCTTATAAGAGTATGAAAACCTTTCCCTAGTAGATACGTAACAGGCCAAAGCAGACAATATCTACTAGCGGTGGACTTGAGTTGTTAAAGTGGTTCCTCTTTAGAGTAGGATTGGATGCTGTAAATGATCAACCGCTTGTCGATTAGCTCTCCCTTTGGACTTCCGTGACGAAGTCTTTTTTTGTAATTACACCTTAAGGATGTCTCATTTAACTTAGACCAGAGTTGTTTTCTTTAGTTCGGTTTTCTTTTTCGTATGCCCTTGTATTCTTTCATGATTTTCTGAATGAGCTGCCATGAAATGAATGGTGTCCTCTTGATTCCCATTACTGTGTTCCATGCTGAATGAAGTGCTTTTATGAATGGTGTCATCTTTCTTGAACCTCAAACTCTCTGTGTGTTCAATCTGTGCTGTGGTAGGTTGAGATACGGAAGCCATAGTTGGTGTAAGATTGATGCAGCAGCTTGTTGGTGAAGAGGATTTGGCCGATTGGAAGGGCACCGTAGGGGATTTTTTTGTTGCATTGGCAGAGGGAATGAAGCCACTGGTCCGCTGAGTATAGTGATGTATGTATGTAATACATTGGATCTTATTTCTTCAAATCAATTTCAATTTCAATTTCCATATCTTCATCTTCCACCTTTTTCTTTGCCTGATATATAAAACTGATAAAGATTCTTGCACCATGACCATGATTCTACCATCGACCTCGATCTCGACTAGTCATGAGGCTTCTCTCGAAACAACAGAGAGATTCATTTCTATGAAACTAAGCGTATTTAGAACATGTTCGAGAGTCATTTGGAAGTGGAAGCACTGAATCACTTCCTGTTGTGCTCAAAATCATTTCCAAACATAGCTATGTTTTTTATTATTTTAAAATCGCGTATGTTTAAAATTTTTAAAAGTAACACTAAATTGATTGCAATTGGGTCGTTGCAATTACAGGTGATTTTGATGTTTTTTTTTTTTTTTCAGAGAATATTAAAATTTAGTTTTTTTAGTTTGAAACTAATTGTAATTTATTTTTTTTTCTTTATAATTAGATTTAAATTTAACAAAATAACTAAATGAAGGAAAATGTCCTGGAATAATTTTAAGAAATTAAAAAAACAATAAACAAATTAACTAAAAATAAGGCTTCCTGAGTTTTTAAATAAGTATAAATGCTTGTTATTTTTTTATTATTTTTTAATAAATATAATAAATATAATAAAAATATTAATATATTAGATTTATTTATATTGTTCTAAGTATATAGTTATATATTTGTACTTCCATTACCATATAAATTCGGGAAGGGAATCCTACTGAAGGCTGATTCAAACGCCTAACAGAAAATTCGAGGGCGGTGCCATTTTTCGGTTTCTTCCATTGATTCGATTCTTCAGGTACGCTCGATCCCACGAGTAGTGAACGAAAGATGGTAGTCGAAGAGACGATCAAAGCTACATCGATGGAAGATCTTTCTAATTCCATCGCAAATCAAAACCCTAGGGGACGAGGCAATGAGGAAGATGAGGATCTTGAGGAAGGAGAGATCGTCGGCGACGACGACTTGGACTCCTCCAATTTATCGGCGGCGATAGTGCATCAGCCTCACCCTTTGGAGCACCCTTGGACCTTTTGGTTCGATAACCCATCCGCCAAGTCCAAGCAAGCCACCTGGGGTGCGTCTATCCGACCGATATATACCTTCTCTACCGTGGAGGAGTTCTGGAGGTAGAATTTTTCTTTTCGTTTCTTTTCTTTTTTTGATAACTTCCTCTTGTTTTCGATTCTTTTGTTGTTGCCGTTTCTTGGTCCGCTTTATGTTTTTTTTTTCCTGGGGAAATTTAGGAAGCTTCGAGCAAAAGGGTTCGATATTGCTTTTGGAAATTGAATATTCTTCTATGTTTTTTTTAGCGTTTTAGTTGTGTTGGTCTTGTTGTATTTAATTCGAAATCAGCTGAGCCAAAGAGGGGATTATGATTGTGAGGGCTGGAGAGAGGGGACTTGCTGATGGAGAAAATTGGGTAGAACATTTATTTTCTTATCGCAGGTCTTGAATGGATACTGATGTTCTTTGATATATGCATGAAGCTACGGGGAAAAATCTACGTGGTGCTATTTCTGCTCTTGTTTTTTTTGTGTATTTCAAAACTTAATACGGGAGCTCTGTTGGAGACTTTATTTTTGACGTTCATGTAGATTATATTTGTGAATATTCTAAAGTTTAGTACGAATTACTTCGATTATGTGTGTCTAAACCTAAGAATTAGATATAAATAAGTTACAAGTGCAAGCAAGTTACTAGGAAATTTCTTTGAATTTATAGAAACAGTCACTTCTGCTAATTTTGGACGAGTTTGGACCATCATTTGCTGTTGAAGTTTTCTAATCGTTTTACCATCTTTGCCTCCTTAACTCTTGTTCACTCTGTTTTGTTTTGTGGTGTTCACTGATTACTTGAGTTTTTGCGTTCATAAATCAGAATTTGAATAAACTATGCTATTGAGGTGAGTTCAAGTCATGGTGGTCATTGGCTGCCTACTTGGATTTAATATTTTGGCGATCAAATATAGTTACCCCAGGGCTGACCTTTGAGAATAGTTGAGGTGCATTGTTAGCTCGCTTGGACACTCTTAGATTCCGTTTGATAGACATTTGAATTTATGTTTCCGAAAATTGTGCTTGGTTTCTAATAATTTATTTACGATGGTCTCCATTTCTCTTGTTAATATTTGAATTCTTATTCAAATTCCAAAAACAATAATAAGTTTTTAAGAACTATTTTTTTTTAGTTTTCAATACTTTGCTTGAAATATTCAAAAGCATTGTAGAGTGTAGAGAACAAAAGAAAGGAACTCATAGATGGTAGTAATATTTACAAGCTTAATTTAAAAAAAAAATCAAATGGTTATAAAATGAGGGTCTTTGATATCCATTTTATTATACTTTTAAATAGAATAGAAATTTAGGTAAAGTATTTACGTGTTGTTTGCTGAAATGTTTCAATCTAGATAGTTAGTCTGTTGCTTTAACAAATAATTTAAAAGCCTTAATTTGAAGATGGATTGGTTTTAGGGGCCCTTCATTACTTGAAATTATAAATGGTTGCCTCGTGTTGACATTTCTATCATTTTTACAGCAGTTTCTACTGGCATACAGTGCTTAATTTTCTTTTTCCTGCTTTTAGTGTTTACAACAATATTCATCATCCAAGCAAATTGGCGTTGAGGGCAGATTTGTACTGCTTTAAACATAAAATTGAGCCTAAATGGGAGGATCCTGTCTGTGCGAATGGAGGGAAATGGACTGTAAACTTTTCAAGGGGCAAATCTGATAATGGCTGGCTATACACGGTACTACCTTGAATTGCATGTTCAATTTGGAATGTAAACAAAGATATTCAAGACTGGTTATTATTATTATTTTTCTAAAAAAAATAAATTACTTCAAACAGCTGCTTGCTATGATCGGAGAACAGTTTGATTGTGGTGATGAAATTTGTGGAGCTGTTGTCAACGTTAGATCTGGGCAGGATAAAATATCGATTTGGACTAAGAATGCTTCCAATGAAGCGGCGCAGGTAATAGCCACCAGACCAATAATTTATACATATAGCCCACTAGATTTTCTCCAGCATAATATGCCCTACATTAATTCAATACTTTATCCCGGCACACGCAATGAACTGCATTTATGAGCAATAAATTGTCGGGATCCATGTATTCATCAGTTAATGTCTCTGCTTCCTTCTCTCTATTTTCTGGCTAGGCGAGCATTGGGAAGCAGTGGAAGGAGTTTCTTGATTACAATGACAGCATTGGCTTTATATTCCACGTATGTATGCTGCTGCTATATAGTTTTATTTACATTTCTCATGGTTTTAACTCAATCTTTTGTTTCATGTTTCTGATTCCATGTTAATTTCTCGTTCAGGACGATGCAAAGAAGTTTGACAGGCATGCGAAGAACCGATATACGGTGTAATATGGTTTCTAGCGCGTATCATGGGAGGAGGATACTCATCCTATTTGAGCAAAGCATGCCTGCCTCAGCATGTAAAAGGTTGAGCTATGGCTTCTTCCTTTAGTTACAACTCCCCACTCCCCCCAAAGCCAACCACACCACCAAGAGAAAAAGTGGTTTTATTCGGTAAACAATGTTTTGTGCTATTAGGAATTTTATGTGGAAATCGCCATCGCTCAGATTCTTGTTCTGTACATGACGGCTTTAGTATGAGATGGATGGAACGGAATGCTTTTTCTATAATCAAAATGATATTGGCTTCGTCTGAGTTTATTATATTTCTCTCTCTCATTGCATTTTCCTTTGTGTTCATTTCTAAACTAAATTATTTTACTTTTGGTTAGGAAAAAAAAAATTAAATACCAATGTCCATAGATAACATTTCCTAAAAAGATTACCCCTTTTGAAAGAAATACTATTAATTTTTGAATTTCTTCCCTTAAAATTTGGAGCGGAAAAATTATGAGTGGGAAAAACGGGTCCTGGAGCGTGGCCCCATCCCCAGGTTCATAAGAGCAATGGGGCCACCAGGACTGGTTTGGCTTCTGAAGCAAACAATCGGCCAATAAGAGCAATGGGGATGCAAGGGCTCTGAAATCAATAATGGTGCCGATCCATCCATATTAAGGATTTGGAGGGTTCCCTCTGTGGCGATCCGTACCTATTCTTGGCTCCATTAAGGCGCTTTCTCCTGCAGCAAGGAGCACTGCAATGGCCTTCCCACCTCCAAGTATTTATCTCCATTCTCAGTGCTTTCTTCGGGATTTCGCCTTTCTTTTCTATTGGATCAAATTTATTTTGTTGCTGACGACTTCTTTTCCTGTATTAGTTACTCTACTTGTCATGGATACCCAAGAAATGATAATGTAGATGGATTTCCTGTTTCTGAATCTTGCAATCAGAGTAATGGTATGCATCTCTCAATTCTGATGAACCATTTGTTGCTTGTGTGCTGATTGCTGTTCATGAATGTGGAAGAGGAGTTCTTACTCTGAGCATAAGCCAGAAAGCAATGATGAACAGAAAAACAACCAAAAAATGCAGCTGTTGATAGTTCAATCATCAAAAGGAAAGCCTCCCCACATGAAAGCATTCAGATGGTATGTCCTCTTATGCAACTCTTTTACTAATAGTTGATATCTTATTCAGGACAATGTGAAAACTAAGCATTTGTGTATGAATATCTTGAGCTGTGGAATCCTTGCAGACCACTTTTATGCATTTGTTTAAATAGAATTCTTTGTAATTTTTGTTGGGGCTGGAGTTTAATTTGGATACAACATTTCTCATTTAATTCATTACTCAGACATAGCAGAGAAATCAATGGAACGATTTGTTTCAGTAATATCATCATCATTTCGGTTCTCTTTGGGGTCTCCAAGCCCCTTTGGTCGATGTTTTTTAAACAGCAATACTAACCTAAGCCCACTGCTAGCAGATTTGGTCCTTTTTGGACTTTCTCTTTCGGACTTCCTTTACAAAGTTTTAAAATGCGTCTACTAGGGAGAGGTTTCCTTCAACCGACGTGGGATCTCACACATCCTATCTTGACCTTCAAGGTCAATGGATATTTTCTTTGTTACTAGATTCAACATCTTGCAATGGACTGCAAAGGCATAGTCCTTTAATTGTAGATATCCACTCCATTTTGTTTTCATTTGAATGTGAGAGTCAACAGCCTCATCTGTTCTTGCTTCTCACCTGCTACTTATATTTCAAGACTGATATGATTGATTTGATTTTAGAGGTAACAAGAGCTCATGAATGGTTCAGGGATAGCTCGGCGCGTTTTGGCTACGTTGCAACCTGCTGCTTCAAGTCTCATCTGTGAGTATAACTGTTTTCCCAATCAATCAATAAATCATATTCTTGAAACATCAGTTATAGGAATGAAGTTACTCTGTCACCATTGCTTCTGATCCTTTTCTTTGCTTTATTGATAATATTTCCTTTTTGGATATAAATGTTCCATCCAAAAGTGCATGCATATGCGAACAACTGAGGTGATTTATATAATAGCAAGTGAAACAGAATGTTCTGCATGCAATTTTTGATAACTCTGCTTAAGAAAGGAAAACCAAAAACATGAAATCTCATGACCTTCACTTCACATTTGTTAAAAACAATAAAAACAAAAAGAATCACCAAACAACTGACTATTTGATATCAAACCACAAATTAAAGACTTTGATCCAAGTTCTAAGTGGGGTGGGTTAGACTTGTTTGTCAAATTGAGTTTGAGTTTATATATATATATATATATTATATAAACTCATTTGAACTTTGCTTATTGAATTGTCATCTATAAGCTTTACTCGATCTTCTCGTGAATGTGTTTGTTCTTTTTGTCCAGAGGTTGTATGTTCGAATTCTAAACTAATTGAGTTGATAAAACTCAATAACATAATGGTATAGATTAAAACGCTGAACTTTTATAAATGTATTAATTTACACTATCTAGATTTTATTTAAAAACTTATAATTCTATCCATTAAATTTAATTTTTTTAAGTGCATTTATTTAGGCTTTGAATTTGAAAATTGCTCGTACATTTATTTTTACTGTATTTTTTTAAAAATTGTGTATTATTTGACACAAAGAATATAAATGATATAATTATACGTTTGCGCACATGTAAGCAAACGAGGAATCTAATTGAGAGTATTAATCGAATTTTAGGTTTTGGTTGATATAATTATTAGTTTAGAGTTATAAATTGATTTTTTTTTTTAAAATAAAAAAATAAAAAAGTTGGTAAGTGGGATAACGAAAGTCCCACCAATCATATTGAATATAAAAAGCTCAAAACCAAAATGATTGTTAGTTCCTTTTACCAACACGCAACTCTCTCTCTCTCCCCTCCCTTTAATTTTCTTCCTCTATAATATTATAAATTAGTTTTTAAAATTAAATATACAAAGATTTATAATGTAATTAATTTTAGATATATATTAAGTAGTTCATCAAATTATATTTCTATTTGTGTTTTGAAAAAGAAGACTAACTTTGTTATTTTTAAATTTTTTTATAGTATTTTAAATATATTTATGAAAAATAAAGAAGATAATAATAAACTAGAATAATTATCAAATTGGTCGATAATCTTTTCTTCTCTCCATCAATATTTTTGTAGATTTAGAAAATTCTACTGTGGATGAGAATGAATTCGGAAATTCAGGACATACTCAATCTTAAAGTGTAAAAATATTCTTATAAATCGCATATATTCTCAATTTTAAGGTCAGATATTTTTTTATAGATTAAAATATTAATTAAAAATGGGTATTTATCATTTACTAGAATGAGTTTTGTATTTTCAAGACTAATGTTCTTAAAAAAGAAATAATTTTAATTTAAGAACGACGTCATTGATCCTTCTCTCCCAATTGGTTTTTCCAATAAAACGCCTCATCTTGCAACTGCTCGAACTTCCTATTATCTTTTCCCATGCAAAGTATAACAAACCGTCCATTTTTTTTTAATGCTTCTGATTGTTCCACATCACCATTATTTAATTCATTAGTTCTCTTTTCGTTTTCTTAATTGTCTACACTTTTAATCATAATGTAATCATATGACACCTCAAGTTCATGCTCGCTTATTATCTCTTTATTATAATGTTTTTATTCTATATTCTTTTTAAAAAAAAACTTTAGGATTAATTCAATATCAGCCTATCTCACCCAATTAAAAAAAAAAAAAAAACAAGAATATTCTTACAAAAATATTGACTTTTATTTTTCAAAACTTTTAAAGCTTTTTCTCTTGATCCACACTCACATTAAAAATATAATAATTTCAATCAAATGTAATGGAAATTATAAAACTAGAAATAACATTTTTATAAAGAATGTGAATATAAAAACAAAACTTCCAATATATATTTAATAAATAATCAAATAAATAAATAAAAACGGAGCGTCTAATATGTGCAATAGCCGTAATGAACAAGTAATCTGGTTGGGAGAGATCGTCAAATCTTCGAAACCAAATCCCTCCCTCAAAAATTTCATGAACTCAATCATTTTTTTTTTTCTGTAAGAAAATGAAAATACAACTTTCAATTTTGATTATCTGGTAAAATCGATCATTTCACCAACAACGAATCCCCAAATTATAATTTAATTTGATTGAAGAGAAGCAGAGCGAAGAAGCCTTTTAGCGTTCGTCGCGATTTGATTTTCCGCTTCCGAATTTGTGTATCTATCTAGAAATTCATCGGAGATTCGATCACCGTCCTCATTCCGATCACGTTTCTAAGAATCCGGTCATCCGAAGGATCGAATTCCTTACTCGTCTCAAATCTCGTCCTTTCAGCGTCCTTCCATTCCCAGTACAAACAGAGAACGCCATTTTCCCTGCCATTCGCCTCTCCGCCACCACATGCGGCGGAATCATTTCCTCTTCGTCCATTTCATCCTCTTCCTCCGTCGTCCTCCGTCGGTTTCTTTCCGGAATCCCTACCGGAAGCGAACTCGCCATTACCTTCTTCGACAGCCGTCCACCATCGCGCACCGTCCGCTGTTGATACTTATTTCGCGGCGCTACAACCATTCCTCCGCGGCAGTTTAAGTTAAAGAAATCCTCGCCGCAATCGTCGTCGTCGGCACGGTGGAGGTAACGGCGGTGGTCGAGATCGGAAAAAATCACTTCGGATTCCTGGAATTCTTCAGCCATATAAGATTGAAGTGAAGAGAAATGGAACAGTAGGAAGGCGAAGATGAAGGGGCCAGTATTTATAGAGAGGGAATCGGAGCAGACTCGGCTCGGCTCCGAGTCGTACTGAGCACACATTTACAAATACTTTTTCTTTTTTCAATAAAAGGAGAAATGACGTCACAATATAGTTGAGTGGGCCCCATGTCTTCTCATTATTATTATTTTTAGGAAATATTATTTATTATGTTTGTTTTTTTTTTAAAGGCTAAAGGGCTCCGTTACTTGTGGGCCACGGAGTTGCAAGCTGTTGGCTTGCATAGGTAAGTCATTGACCTGACAGAAATTTGCTGTCCACGTGTCCCATTTTTTCTGCCTCCCACATTAATTATTACTTATTTATTCCCAAACATGTCCTCCTTCCACCCAATCTTTTCCAATTTTCATTATTATTTATAGATTAAATCATATGTTTATAAAATTTTAATTTTGTTGATTATACCGATTTTATTTATTAATGATTTTTTTAAACTTCAATTTTATTTTTATGTTTTTATTTCTTTTTATGTTGTATTTCATATATCAATAAAGTTTTTATTTTTTATTTTTTATTTTTTTATGTTTTAGTTTACTTACTTTTACGGTTTTATCACAAGGGCGAAAGGGAAAAAGAGAAAAATAAGGAGTAAAAAATAAAATAAATAAATAAATAACTCGTGACACTAAAGAGATTTATGCGTGACTTCATTTATTACTTTTTCAATTTTATAAAAAAGCGTTTTTTTTTTCCAACTTAAAAATGCTTTTAAACTTTTTAATTTGAATAGAATTCTTAAATATTCTTAAATATATAAATACGTAGATAAATATATGTACGCATGTATGTACTTACATACATATACATGTTCGTTGAAGAAAAAAATTAAAATGAAAAGATAATAACAATTCGTAGCACCCTTTCCAAAAAAAGAAAAAAAAAAGCATAAATCAACTAAAAGGGTTTGAATTGAAACAATTGATTCGATTACGTGACAGCTAACAATTGCGGCTAAACTCACCACGTCGGAGATATAAAAAATTGTACGATAGCGACAATGGAGCTGGTCCCATGAGATATTTTATCCCATTTCTTTGGAGATCCACACGCTATGTAGCATCAGAATATGACAACTCTCTCATAATTTGACACGTAGCTTGATTTCATTGTTAGGGTCACTACCACCAACTTTAGTTTACTGTGTTGCATGAAATTATTAGGTTTATAACGATGTATTTTTACAATTTATTAGTAAAAAATAAAATATTTTTAGAAAAAATAAACAATAAACTAATTTTAAAATTTATTAACCTTTACAAAATTCTTTGGATAAGATTTTAAAGTTTCACGTCTTTGAAAAGCATTTTTGGGGGAAAATGACAGCTGTTGCTTTTCATATTATTTTATTTTAATCTTCCCTTTCAATATAATATAGTTTGTGGGTATTTTATGATGAGGTGTTAGGATGATGAAAGTCCCACGTCGACTAAATTTATAATCAATAAATACTCTCTCCATTGGTATGTAGCCTCTTGAGGAATCCCAAAGTAAAGCCATGAGAATTTATACTCAGAGTGGACAATATTATACCATTGCAGAGAGTCGTGTTACTCTAACATGAGGAATAATGTAAATCATAGATATAAATTTCAATATCTAAAAAAGAAACTATTTTTTTTTTTTTAGTTATAAAGATAAAAGAGTAAAAGGCTATATTTTATTTTTATTTATGGTGTTATCGAAAAAAATAATACTTATTTTAGTGATTATAAATTAGTTTTATTCCAAAGAGTTTGTAATTTAATTTATTTTATTTTATTTAAATTCTGAAATTTGGAATAATTTATGTGCATAGATAAAATGTTCAAATTTTAATGCCTTTTGAAATGTAAATGCACAAAGAAAATGAATATTACTTCTTAGTAAATAACAATAAATATGGGCCTTTGCACGGCCCAATCTCTTACGTCCCACATCGCTGAATTTGGAACATAATAAGCGTTTATATTGTGGAGGCGAGACGTGATGGTCGTCCCTTCGGGGACATCCGATAAAATTGGAACGATACAGAGAAGATTAGCATGGCCCCTGCGCAAGGATGACACGCACAAATCGAGAAATGGTCCAAATTTTTTTTTCTAAATTACCAATTGGTGTGATGTTACGATCTTACCCCTCCCAGATTTATCGTTTTCTCTGGCGGTTGAGAGCTCGCTCACTTGGAGT